AAATGTGAACTTGTGGCTCCCCTGACAAAAATATGTAATCTTTCATGAAAATATGCCTCATAAGAACATAAGAGACGCCAATGTTGGATCAGGCCAAAGGCCCATCCAGTCCAACACTCTGTATCACACAGTAGCCAGAAATACCAGTGCCATCAGGAGGTCCACCAGACATTAGAAGCCCTCCCACTGTTGACCAGCCCCCAAGCACCAAGATGACAGAGCATCACTTGCCCCAGGGTCCCTATCTATACCTTGTGGCTAATAGCCACTGATGGACCTCTGCTCCATCAGTGGGAGGACTTCTAGTGTCCTGGCCCCACTGGTGGACCTCCTGATGGCACCTGGTATTTTTGGCCACTGTGTGACAGAGTGTTGGACTAGATGGGCCATTGGCCTGATCCAACATTGGCTTCTATCATGTTCTTATGATAAGAAGTCCCTACCTTCCAGGAAGAAGGATCTTTGAGGATCCAAGTGATCACCTTGGCCCTTCAAGGATAGGTGGCAACCAAAACAGCAGAGTTCCAGCAGAGCAGCCAACTACAACAATGCAGATCAGAACAACAAGGGTTCCAAGAAGGCTCCCTCCTCCTGACTAGCCAGGATCTTTGGTCTCCCCAGGAATCGGGGGCGGCTGGGACAATTTGCAGCTTGATGGGAGCTCTCTGTCTAAGACAAATGGGTTTCAGACATTGGTGACATGGTCACCAACAGCTATTCACTAGAATTCTGCATGACACTGGGCAACTGTTTTCTTAAGGTCCCCAGGAAATGTTCTGAGCAGAAGCATCTCTTCCTGTAGGCCATCCAGCACCTGCTGGACATTGGTGCGATCGAGCTGGTGCCCTAAGACATTGGGGGTTTACCCCATTCTTTTTTTGGTCCCAAAGAAAAATGGGGATGTCAGAGCTATCTTGGACTTCAAATTGATTGAACAGGAGGATAGAAAAGAAGAAATTCAGGATGGAGGCCCCATGGTCCATTCCAGCCTCCATTCAGAAGGGAGACATCTTGGCTTCTATAGACCTCTCTAAGGCCTATCTTCATATCCCCATCCAAGAAGCCCATTGGAGGTTCCAGTATTGGGCACTTCCATTTGGCCTTAACCCTAACCCTAACCCTCAAGGTGTGGCAATGTTTCCATTTTTAGACGACATCCTAATAAAAGCCCCACCTTTCCAGCAGGGAGTGGAGGATGTGAACCCGACAGTCTCCTGTCTCCAGGAACATGGGTTTGTGATAAATATGGAGAAGAGCAACCTGATCCCGCCACAGTCAACCTTACACCTCAGTGTTTGAATAGACACAGTTCAGGACAAAATCTTCATGTCCCTGGAGAGACAGCAGAAACTGCATTTGATCTTTCAACAGGTGATCAAGAGCCCCAGGGTGGACCTGATGCTGTTGGCAAGGCTCCTTGGGATGATGATATCCTGCCAGGACGTGCTCCAGTGCTCCAAGTTCCATGCCCGCCCCCTGCAGAGGTTCTTGCTGCCTTTTCAGGATTTGATTGCCAGCTGGCAGTCCAAACTCCGGCTCCCCAGCTCTCTTTGTCAGGAGTTCAGTCAGTGGTTGATGCCCTCAAGGTTCCTGAAAGAGAGTCCCTTCAGGGAACCAAGGAGATTCAGGATAACTACTAATACCAGCCTCACCAGCTGGAGAGCCCATACCCAAGGGAGGATGGCGCAGGGGGTCTGGTCCCTGGGTGAGTCCCTTCTGAGCATAAACGTATTGGATCTGAGGGTGATCAGGCTTGGTCTCCTGGCCTTCCAGGATCTCCTCTCTGGCCAACGTCACAGTGCACACAAACAACATGATGGCCAAGGCCTATGTAAATTGGCAACAGGGCACCAGGCATCAGTCTCTTCATCAGGAGGTGCAGTTAAACGCTGGCTGGGGGCAGCACAGTCCCTATTTCAGTGGGCAGACGTTCATCTGAAGTCAGTCAAGGCAGTGCATGTAGCAGGACAGGACAACTTCCTGGCATGCTAAGTGAGTTGGCAGGCTCTAGATCAGTCAGAGTGGATATTGAACAGAGCAGTACTCCATCAGATCTGCCTAAGATTTGGGAGACCAGAAGTGGATCCCTTCCCCACAGAGCAGAACTGCCAACTCCCAAAGTTCGTGACAAGGGTAAAATACACTTGGGCCATTGGAGTGGATGCCCTCAGCTGGGACTGGCCAAATCAGTTGCCTGATTCAACTGGTGCAAAGACTGATTCAAAGGATAATCGACCTAGGGGCAGAAGTGGTTCTAGTGGTTCCTTTCTGGGCACAGAGGCCTTGGTTTCAGGATCTGCTGAGGCTGGAGGCTTCCCCCGGGGGAGGACCTCCTTCTACTGGGGAGCGTGCGCAACATCCACAACCAGGAATGCTAAACCTCACAGCTCGGAGGTTGAGCGGTCACTCCTCACAAAGATGGGGTACTCAAAGGGAGTGGTTTCCACCACGTTAGCTTCTAGGCGAGGTTCCACTAACAGGGTCTATAATCGTACATGGCAGACTTTTCAGGCCTGGTGTCAGGAGCAGGGTCTAGAACCTCTTTCAGCCTCAGTTAGCAAGATCCTCTCCTTTTTGCAGGAGGGGCTTGATAAAGGGCTCAGCATCAGGAGCCTTTGGAGGCCGGTCGCTGCTTTAGCAGTGGTCGGAGAGGGGCAGGAAAGGGGTCTCCCTAGCCTAGCATCCTCATGTAAAGAGATTCCTCAGGGGAACTTTCCTGCTCCATCCTCCGCAGGTTCACCGTTTCCTGACCTGGAGCCTGAATTTGGTTCTTAGGGCCCCGTCTAGGGCTCCCTTTGAGCCCATGGCCCCCTGCCCCCTAAAGGAGCTGGCTTTCAAGACCCTCTTCCTTGTGGGCGTCACTTCAGCCAGGAGGGTGTCAGAGCTTAATGCACTCTCGATGCACAAGGACTTATGTATTTTTCATAAGGATCAGATGATACTGCACCCAGGCCCAGCCTTTATGCCCTAAGTGAATTCCACCTTTCACAGGGCAGAGGAGGTGATTCTGCCTTCTTTTTGCCTAGACCGCATTCATCCCAAAGAGAGGGAATGGCACTGTCTAGATGTTAGGAGGACACTGAGCTTCTGTTTGATAGAACAAGTTCCTTTAGCAAGACTGTCTTTCAGGAAATCCTTCATGGAACAAAGGTGTCTGCACTCTCGTCAGCAGGTGCATTATGGGGTACCTCATGTTGGCCTACCAGGCCTCTGGTGTGGACCTTCCCCAAGGGATCACAGCTCATTCCCTCTGAGGGGCTGCAACTTCAGCAGCTCACAGAGCCTTCCCCTCCTTGGAGACCATTTGTAGGGCTGCCACGTGGAGATCAGTCCAGTCCTTCACCAGGCACTACGGGATAGACAGAGTGCCTTCTGCTGAGGCGACCTTTGATAGGAAGGCCCTGCAGCACAGCCTTCAGGATTAGGGGTCGGTCCCACCCTGGGGCATATTGGTTTTTTATGTCCCAGAAGTAAGGACTGCCCCATTCTGGACCACTGGAGAATGGAAGATTTTCTCACTTACCATGAATCTTCCTTTCTCAGTGGTCCAGGAATGGGGCAGTCCTTCTCACCCAGTTTTTTCTCTGGAGGTGGCTCCTAGTGCTGATGGGGTTGGTTATTTGGTTTACTACAGGCTGTGTGTCCCAGTCAGCCTGGTGCCCTGTTTTGTTGGGAGGGGGTTAGGAAGAGACTGGTTCCTTCTTCCAGCCGTGTCTTTAAGTGGGGAGGTAGTTTGGTTCTCGCATGGTTTGAATGGTTGTAGTTATTAGTTAGGGTTTTCCTACCTGAGTTTCTCTGTTAGAGTCAGGGGTCATTTGGGGGTGGGGACGCGGGGGGACGCCATCCCCCCGGGTGAGGTGCGGGAGGGCGGGGCCTGGAGCTCCCTGCTGGTGCCCGCTGGAGGTCACCGCCGGCTGTGGGGAGGACACACTTCCGGTGATGTCAGGGGGTGTGGCATATGCTAATGAGTTATGCTAATGAGTCCCCCTAGCTCTTTTTCTACAAAATGACCCCTTAGAGTTGTTGCTGTTCCTAAAAGACAGAGGGTCGATGCTTGTCAACAGACTGGAGTTCTGGGAGATAAGTCCCTGCCCTTCAGAAATCACAAAGATAGCGAACCTGTCCTTAAAGAGGAGGAGCTAAACTCCCAGAAGTAAAGGACTGCCCCATTCCTGGACCACCCAGAAAGGAAGATTCACGGTAAGTGAGAAAACCTTCCATTGCCACATGTAAGTCAACCGTGCTATGTAGAGCAGTCTAGGGTTCTCTCCTGCATGTGGCACACTTGGTATTTCCAGCACACTCCAGCAAGTAACAGTTTTCCTCTGCGGAGGCCCTCGGACTAAAGTTTAACTGTTGCACATTTTTAAGTTACTTGCCACTAACAGGGAAATTGTTAAGTCAGAATTTATTATTATGCATGTACATTTCTTACTGAAGCTCATGCAGTGTTTGGCACATCATGCTGTTGTGGTATAGAGCTTTGTCATGTATTTTGCCCTGGTGGGTTTTCCATACACAAGCTTAGAAAATAACTGCTCAGGGTAAGCATCTGTTCTGCAACATGATTTTCCTTTTATTAGCATCACAGTACCCTGTTACTGAGGCTAGCAATCCAGGGCTGGTTTTGCCAGCTGATGGCTCTGTTCGGCGTTTTGGCTGGAGATGTAGCTGGTAGAGTTCACACTAGAACTCCCAGACTGGGAATCTTCCTGGGGTGGCCCCCTTGACAGGTGCTTTCCCCGTCTTGCCTCCTCTGTTCCCGCTTAGCCCTTCAGTGGCTGCTTTGCCGCTTCCCTGCTTGTCCTTGCTTAGTGCTGCTGCTGCTGCTGCTTCGTCACAGGCTGCTCTCCTTGGCTCATTCGTAGGTGGTGTGGCTGTCTGGTGACATGTCTTCTCGGACTTATCGGGCTGTGTTGTTTCTTTTTCAAGGTGGGAGATTCTTCAGCAGGGAACAGTCGAGTTTGCCAGGGGCGAATCAGCTTCCTGTGGGTCAGAAGATGGTGGAGTCTCTGGCCCAGCTACAGGAGGAAAAGTTTCAGCTGCAGCAAGAATTACTGTCTCTGCAAGAGAAACTTCTTGTGCAAGAGAGTAGCCAGTATTCTCAGACCATGCACCTGCAAAATCAGGTATTTTGTTATTTCGGCGCCTGGTGATGTTAGATGGTAACACCTGTACTGGCTTTTTTTCTGGGAACAGCTTGTGGAATCAGAATCTCACCCTGAGTGGCATCTCCCCACCCCCCATCTCTGGGATTTGTTATATAAAAATTAGTGTCCCATTTAAAAGGTGTTGGCATACTAACAGTGCCTCCTTCCCCTATGCCTGAGAGGCCTTGGTAAGAAGAGCTGTATTTCTAAAGCATGCTGCTTTCAAATCTTCACACTTTCTGCTAGCTAAGTAGGAAATCTGATAAGAATCTATATCACCTGTTATAATGGGGCATTTCTGCTGAAAGTGGGATAATCGTATTTATTTGTGCAAAATGTAAGTTGGCACCCAGGGTAGGTAGTAACAAAATTTAAAGGTTTTAATAAATAAAAATATCCAGTAATTCCTGCTAGCAGCCACATAGTGTAAACATCCCTGCAGCAGCATTGTGTGCCTGCAGCGCTGGAAACATGGCTCGTTCCCTCTGTCTCCCTCACACCCTTCTGAGGAAGGCAGTAATAACAGCTTTTCTTTCCTGTGCCTCCAGGTCTGATCCTGTAGATTTGGAGTGCTTCACTGTGAAGTGGAAGACAGGGACTGAAATTGTTCTCTTAGTGGATGCTATTCTACCCCTGCCTCTGCATTTTATTTTTAATTTGTTATATAACATATATAACATATGATGCTGTCTTTGAATCATTAGTCTATCTGGCTGAGATATCTAATAGGTATATGGGCAAGTCTGACTGGCCGTGGCTCTGCAGGACCTCGGGCAGAGAAGGGTCTTCCTCAGTACCTACTGTCTGAGATCACTTAACCAGAGAATAAATCTGGATCTTCTACATTCAAAGCATGTGCTGTAGTACAGCCACAGGTATCCAATGCAGTCACGAGAATACCCTTCGTAGTCTGCAACATGCCTCAGACATGGTGTGCCATTTCTCCTGCTTTCTATTGTTTTGCTTTCTACGTTTTTGTACCCATGTGTACAAGGTCTAGATTTACTCAGATTTTGACCACATTGCCAAAGTGGGATGCTGATGGTCATGTAAACATAAGAAGAGCCCTGCTGGATCAGACCAGGGAGGGTCCATCTAGTCCAGCATCTTGTCTCACACAGTGACCAACCAGTTCCTCTGGAGTGCCAGCAACAGGGCATAGAGGCCCGCACCTCCCCCTGATGTTGCCTCCTGGCTCTGGGATTCAGAGGTTAACTGCCTCTGGACATAGATGTTCCCCTCAGTCACCATGGCTAGTAGCTACTGATAGAGTTATCCTCCCTAAATCTATCTAATCCCCTTTTAAATCTGTCTGTGCCTGTGGCCACCCTGAACTGGATAGCCCACGCTAGCCCAATCATGTCAGATCTCAGAAGCTAAGCAGGGTGGGCCTCGGTTGGGGTTGTGACATGGTGGCAGGCCCCCCTCTGAAAATCTCTTGCCTTGAAAACCACAGCAGAGGTTGCCAGAAATCAGATGTGAGTTGATGGCAAAAAAAGAAAGAAAGAAAGCCTGCAGCCATCACCCAATCACCACATCCTCTGGCAACAAATTCCATATTTTAATCACTTGCTGTGTAAAGAAGCCTTTCCTTTTGTCTGTTTTAAATCTACTGCCCACCAGCTTCATTCGGAAGCCCTCTGGACACATTATCCCAGCGCAGCTCCACTGCTGTGCTTGCGTTACCTCAGGCACCTACCAACAGCCCCCCCGCCCCCGAATATTGGTTCTGGGTCCTCCCTCCCTCTCAGCAAAGCGCTGGTCGTTTTGCCCTCTCTCCATCTTCACTGACACCTCTGAGGAAAGGCAGCCATCACCTCATTCCCC